AGCTGTCACTGCTGGACCCTTGACCATCAACTGCTCAGTTGAATAACTGAGATAAATGTAAATCACTCTGGATAATGTAATGCTGGATCATTTAGTCCAGTCTTATCAGGAAAGGGTCGGTGTGAGTGCAGGTTTCCATTCCAACCAAGCAGGAGCCACACCCGATTCCACCTGTTTAATTAGTTGATCTTGGCTTTCAGTAGACTCAGCTGTGGCTTCTGCTTGGTTGGAATGAAAACCTTCAGCACACCGGCCCTTTCCCGATAAGACTGCACAAACCCCTGATTTAGAGAATTAGGACTCATATGCCAGGATGATCTGAAAAACTGGTCACTAAATGTCACAACGTGGGCTTGAGCTTCGCAACCTGAAACTAGAGCCTGGACTTTTTTTAACTAATCACAATCGAACAGTCAAGCTTGTCTGACATACATCCTCCATCCTGACCCTGAACAGAGGATCGCTCCCCCCAGGGCTGTGTGCTGATCCCACTCCTCTACCCCTGCTACACTCATCTCTATGTTCTCAGCCATGCCTCTGAGACCATCATCAAATCTGCAGGCGATACAGCGATGATCAGACTAAACTCTCATCACTACCACACTGAGTCTGCTTATAGGGAGGACGCGAAGAACCAAGCAGCTCGGTGTAGTGACAATACCGTGATCTTTAATGTGAAGCAAACCAAGGTGAGAATATAGTTGATCCAGGAGCCATGCACACATACCACTGCTCACAAACGAGAGGCTGTGGGGGTGGTGTCCAGCTTCAAGTTCCTCAACATTTCTGATGGCCTGTCTTGGGGCATCAACACTTCTAAAATCACTGAAAAATCGCCCCGGCTATACTAACTGAGCAGCTTGAAGAAAGGTCAGATGATGGTCAGATTCTCACTGCACCATCATCACATAGTGCTGTTCAGTGTAGTACTCCAACAGCAACAAGGCTGAAGAAAAAACACTGCAACAGAGCATTAAAGCTGCATGTTGGCACACAATTAACAGAAAAACAGAAACAACCTTAATGTAAGAAGAGCATCAAGGACTCCACACACTCCTGTTATCAAGTCACATCTAGGCTCAGGAGCAGATTCTTTCCTCACAGGGTAGTACCTTCATGAACAGTGCACTACACGTCAGTACCTCACAGTGACAGCTCAGGTCACTCAGGGACACTAACGACTGGGTACTGAGGTGAACGCACATCATATCAATAACTTCAATATGTACAATAACTAAGAATCTGTTCAACAACCACAATACAGCAATGCAAAAACTGATTCATCTAAGTATGGATGATGAACAAGTCTTTAAATACACAGATTTATGGATTTTATGGAACACATTTGCCTGGAAGTGTATTTATCACCCAAACACATTTACCATGTGATAATTAATGATAATGGATATGAAAACGTAGAGAAAACGAGCGCACTGGAATTATTTCCTGTATTTCTGAGCCATCAGCTGATCGTTGTCCTGAAATATACTGACAGGAGCATCAGGACACGCAAAGGCGACACATCGTCCATTAAATCTGCTCAGAATTTATTATTTAGTGGACCTTTAAATCTGCTGCATGCTGTAAAAACTGCATCAACGCCAGTATGATTAATGGTCATATAACTGGAAACATCCATTAGCCACAAAAAACACACGAGCCGGTTCATTGGCAGCAACAATGGTGAAATGACGGGCTTTAATTAATGCCCCAAACATTTTCTCCTTCAGGTTATTCTTAGGGCTGGTGGAGAGGGTAATTATTCCATATTGTACAGGAATTATAGCTGCTTGTTGGGACAGAGATGTAATGTCATCTAATTTTCAGAAAATGGCCTCATTTACATGACTCCCAACCATCCAGTGCACAAACACTGCCCTATGTGTCATCTTTGTTTTAAAAGTATTAGCATAAATTAGCATAAATCTCTCCATTTTATTCCAGGTTATTTTGGATTCGTCCTTCGTCGGAGAAGGACGAAGTCCATAGTGGGGGTCAGATAACAAGCAGAGATACCAAATCCATTATCCGAGTTCTAACAGGCAGCCAGAGGTCGAAAAACTAGAAGATTAGCAGGCTGGGGATTGACACGATAATACCACTCAAGAAGATGGCTAGAGGCTTGCAGGAACATCAGGGCCGAGGGTTCACCATGTTTATGATAATTTTCGACATGAACATTAACTTTTGAGAAGAACTTTCCTGATAACTCAAGATCTGATATATAGTTGAACTCCTCTTATTTGTGTTAGCAATTTACGGGTATGCTAAGTGTATTTCCATCATAATATTAGTTGCATGGGGTCTTTTCTTAGTAATTTACCAACCAATTTATTCACTTCGGCTCTCACTGCATGTTTCTATTTTCCACTTAAAATATTTCAGTGAATTCTTGCCAGATAAATCACATGTTTAGTCATACAATATTGTGGACTTATTAATGTTGATGTTCTGAATGATTCTGACTCATTTCTACTCTCTCTGCCTTTCCATTTAAAGACGAAACAGCTGCATACTAGATAAATAAATCAACATTTTAGGCACACAACATACTATTTATTAGTCATTTTTCAGATGGTTTCTGAATGGTTCTGATTCATTTTCCACCGACACTGGATCTTCACTTTCCCCATACACAAGACCTAATGGCTGTGTGCTAGCTAGCTGTTCTCACCACTTTAACGACTTGAACGGAAAGCACATCATGCATCAATCATTATTGCTGAAATAAATGCAGACGAGTAGCGTTCTGCATGACCCGGTCCCGTCGGCTTCCTTTGGTAGTTGGAGCCGTGTATACAGTTAGAGCTCCTGACTAAAGGAAGTGTATTTCCTGAAAACCCCACTCCCACACGACCTTGTCAGCTCAGTGCCGTGTCGCCTGCTGCTGTTTATCTTCCTACATCATGTGTTTACTGTCTGTGCTGTGATTTGTTTACAGTCGTTTTAAATACCCATGTGGCGTTAAAACGTCACAAGCTTGTTCTGAACGGAAAGTAAACATATAGTGTTCGATGAAAACATACAACTTCAGTTTAAATAGACAGTCAGACAGACAGACAGACAGACAGACAGATAAACTGAATGACAGACAGATAGATAACTGTATATTCAGACGTTTCTGAAGCTGTCGTCTCGGTCAGTAAGAACATTTCCGAGCGGATAAAAGGCTTTGTGCAGTTTTATGAATCATTCATGCTGTCGATTATAGCGTAAGACAATCTCAGATCATCCATTATTCTTCAGTTTAGGGAGAATAAAACACAAGCTTTGGGGAAATGAGATCCATAATTATAACTTTTTTATGAAACTGGTCCTTTCTCTATCTACCGAGACTCTCAGACGCGGTGTGTGTGGAGGAGAAGACGAATAAGGCCGTCTCAGCTGCCCTCATTCTGATGGGATCTATATCTTCACACTGCTCAAATTCACTCTTTATCCTCCCATTTTGTTCTGTGAATTTATCATCACGAAATAACCGCTTGAGGAAAACTGTTAGTAGAAACAATGTGAGAAAAATTGTGCAGCTCTCGAAGGAGTGCAAGACATGGAAAGTGTTCTCACAGTGATCGCATTTGGGATTTAGTTGCAGGTACGAGGACATGGAAAATGATTAAGATATGAGCTTATCACACAGGAGACAGATGTTATGATGTAGATGTATTGTGTTTTTATCTATGTTTCTTCAAGCTACATGCAGACAGGGTCAAAACCATAAATTCCAGATTAACAAACTAGGAAATCTAGATAATAAAAAATAATAATTAAAAAAAATAAAAGCACATAGGAACTGCAGTGGAAATTCAAGACTTCACAAAAAGAGGACACAAACAAGAGAAGATATACTGAGATGACAGCAAGACAAGCACAAACAAACAACACAGACAAAACTATTGTGTGTGAAAGGGAAAGGATTAGAGACTGGCACTGTGAAAGGGAAAGGATTAGAGACTGAGATTGAGACTGTGAAAGGCTTGGATTCCTGACCAAGATGGCAGCACAGTAGAAATATGGTGCTATGTTTCCTATAGTCCATACTAATTAGGAAACTTTTACCAGTGATGTGCTTTGTGAACACTAGTGAACATGTCTATCATCACCAACTTTTGCTGAACATTGTAAAACAGAACCCAGGATTGAGACTGTGGAAGAATCAGGACCTGAGATTGAGACAGTGAAAGAATGAGGACTTAGGATTGAGACTATGGAAGGATTAGAAACTGGGATTGAGACTATGGAAGAATCAGGACCTGGGATTGAGATTGTGGAAGGATCAGAAACTGGGATTGAGACTATGGAAGGATCAGAAACTGGGATTGAGACTATGGAAGGATCAGAAACTGGGATTGAGACTATGGAAGAATCGGGATCTGGGATTGAGACTGGGGAAGGGTCAGGACCTGGGATTGAGATTGTGAAAGAGTCGGGACCTGGGATTGACACTGGAAAAAGATCTAGGCTTGTAACGGGGAGAAGAATCAGTGTTGTTTGCTTTGGTTTCTGTACAGTTCTTTACTTACAGTTTCTGTAATGCGTGCGAGGAGTTTCCCTCTTAACTCCATCCTGATGTGAACATCCTGTACACACTGTGTTTTTCAATGCAAGGAGTGACATGGTGCTATTATATATGGCTCACAACGGGAGCTGTAAAGATGCAAAATTTAGTAAAGACATCGCTCAAAAAGGATTTGACTGAACAGCCAAGGAAGACAAAGATAGAGATAAACTAGCATGAGTGCTATTCACTGTCTTGGCCATAGCCAAGGTGGAGCTGGAGTAAGAAATGATGAAAGGAAGAATGTATTACAATACCTCATTGATCGGATCATGATTCACTGAGCATTACTTAATCTTCATTACACCCAATAAATCTAAACTTCTTCAAAGATATCAGCTGTAAAAGAAGAATCAGACTCATGTAAGAATTACGACTTATTGATCAGATCTGTCTCAGACTGGAATAAAGTAGTCCAGCATATAAAGATTTACTCTATATATCT